TATATATATATATATATGGTACATATATATATATATATATATATAGGCATAGATATATAATTGAATATATAAATTATAAAATAAATAAATTAAAAATGTGTGCATAAGCAAAATTTATAATTTAGCAAATAATAATAGGGTCATTCCATGTCAAATCATCCAAAAATATCAAAAAATGTCACTCCATGTTTGGGATTTTGCTAATTTTTTTATATTTTATAGGGTTTATGAAAATTAAGAAAATATGAAATTTGGAACCTGCAACTCCTTACGGTTCTTGAGATATTCGGGTTTCAAATTTTAAATTTACGCTGACTTAGTAATTTTTCAAAATGTATTTTTGTTATTAAATAACAATATTTTATGGACGAAATGAGGTATCATTCTGAAATTTGGTATATAGACAATCTTCCAGATGGAGGATACAAATATCAAAATAAAATTTTTTTTAGACCACCTTAAATACATGTAAATTAAATTATAATGGCATTTACTTTGGGGTATTTTGACGGTCAAAATGGTGATGTCACCTTGGTAATTTTTTTTCACGCATTACTAAAACTTACAATATAGGTATCAAACATCACTATTAATTAAAAATATATTATTGCATTTTTTGACTTTTCTAAATAGAGCCTTTTAGGTAAAGCTTATATAAATGAGTCAGCATAAAATTTATTGATAACTTATTTATGAAAAAATTAGCTATATCTTAATATCATGTTGTAAAAAGTTATTTTTAAAGACATTTTTATGGCAATAATAAATGTATACTTTATTTCTAAATATTTTGTACCTGGGGTAGGCCCCCTCCTCCGCCCTCACAAAAAAAAAAAAATTTTTCCCAATTTTGTCAAAAGTTATTTTAAAGTCATTTTGAGGGCAATCATAAATGTATACTTTATTTTAAATTTTTGGTTCCTGGGGTAGGCTTCACCCCACCTCCCTGCCCTCCCAGTAAAAAAAAAATTAATATTTTCCTAATTTCGTTATGCCAATAAAATTAAGATTGTTTTGTTAAAACTTTTCTATCAAACTTTTGGAGGCCAGCTAGGTTGGTTTGGGAGAGAGGTCGAAACTAGGCATATTACAAAATCCCCCCACTTTTTTTTTTTCTTAAAATATATAAAGTCCAGGAGATTTTTATTTGGCCAAATTGTGCTAATTACACTTTCAATTATATTTTAACTATATTAAAAAAAATAACATAAAAGTATAAAAATAAAGACGCAGTAGAAGTTTTTTATAAAAATCTTGGTTATTTTGTTTAATAATTTTTACCAACTCAACTTCTGAAATTTTGTATACAAGACCATTTGTTGTAGATGGCGGATCAATGGTACATAAAATAGGATTTAATGGGGCCCAACACATATCTTCTCGTGCAGGCCAAGAAAAACTTGGACTGGGACCATGTGGATGCATAAATTGAATTTTATAATCTCCTTTTCCTTCATCTTTTTTGTTTGTTATTCCAATCCACCAAAAGCTGTCATCTTGCAAGCTACATAATCCATATGATTATAAATAACCTGCTGCACAACCAGCTCATTTGGTATCTGCACAAGGTTAAATGTCTGAATATCAGTTTGATGACTCATCCTTTTAAAAGAAATTGTATATTTATCAATTGGTATAAAATGGTGAAAGCATCTTGTTCCTGGCAAGGTTCTTCCCATAGTAAACCTTGGTTGCAAACGTTTATTTCTGTTTTTTAAACTAAAATGAATTGGATGTTTTTTATATTGGTTACACAAAATTCAAACATCTAATCTACATCTAAAATCTGTCTAGTACTGTTCTTTTTAAACTATCTTGTGCAGTTATTTGTTTTACTGTGCCGCCAATGCCATCACAAGCAGACTTACCATGGCTTGTAGCAAAAAAGATCCATTCAGCATCAATATCAAAGTCTTCTTTGCGATGGCAAAGATTAATAAAATTCTTAAAGTTTTTATATTGTGCTGCACATCCATCAGTGAAGTATTTAATATTGCTAATTTGTAGAATGTTTGCCTTAATGTAATTGGTAATAAGTTGTTGTATTTTATTTACAAAGTATACATCATGCTCAGCGTCATCAGAAAGGAAGCAAAATGGCTTAAATATCAGTTTATTATTTGATTTATAGTATATAATAATAGGGTGAAGTGTATATTTTGGTTTATTCCAGTGCACCTCATCCTGAACAATAAATTGGAAGTTATCTGCAAAGTCACCCAATACTATACACTCATTTTGATTTAATAAATCTTTACAGTCTTTAAGGTACTTTGCTTGCCTTTTAGCTATAAGTGAATGAGATGTTAATATATCTATTTTATTGCACTCTACATTGTCTCTATTGCAAACAATCGTTCCATCAAATCTCTACACTCTTTATCAATTTTAAGAGCATCAGTTAACAACTCAACATTCTGATGATAGTTACAGATACAAACACTGTGGGTGCCATACGAGTTTGTGGTTATACACCATCTTGCGTGAAGGCTGCAAAACTTAGAAAATCTGACGTTTAAATTAGAATGTTTGGATTTAAATGCTACATAAAGTTCTTTTAAATTAATCAATATTACTATTTTTTGCATGTGTTGCTTGTACCCTATACTGACAGAGCTTGTACCCTTGTAACTGACAAGGGTACAAGCTCTTCTACTTACTCTACTTACTACTTACTTACTCTTTTTTTCCAGGCATCATTCGTGTGTACTTGTCACTTTGATAAAAGCTATGAACAAGATCAATGGTTTCATGGGAAAGCAACTTTTTTTTGATGATGGTTTATACAAAATTCCATGTTTTTTTTTGGCTTTTCTAGCTTCTCGTATAAGGTAATTAAATACATTAAAAAATTCTGCAGACTTTGCAAGTGACCATGATTCTGGAGTTAATTTTAATATCTGTATTTTTGCAGAGTATGATGTCACATTTCTTATTTTCTCTTTTAATTCATTTAAAAGTGAGTATAGATTGTCAATTTGGTTATCAATTGAAGAAGTTAGTGATGTACAAGATGGTGTCAATCTAATCGTAGGATCAATATCATAAGCTTTATTTATTTTGTTCGCATTTGCTTCAGTTATTTGATCAAATTTTCTTTTGGGAGCTGGTTAGCATTGGTGTTTTGGAATTGATTTAAGCTTAATAGGTGACACACCTATAGAATCAAGACTTTCATTGAGAGATGCACATTGTTCTTGTTCAGACTCAATCCTACTATGGCATTGATCATTTGATTCTAATTCTTTATTTATACTATGTACCCTTTTGTAATAACTACTGCATAATTTCCACCCAGGTACAGCAGCAATTCCTTTTGTTTTTAAAGTTATTGCCATTGATAGCGATATCTTCACATTTCCTATAAAGAAAAAGGAAACAATCATTTCCTATAAAAAAAAGGAAACAATCATTAAAAACTAATATCAACTCACCATCTTTGTAAAGAACAAATGAGTATAATTGTTAGTTTATAAATATACTTAATATTGCTTTAATTTATTTAATTACTATTTCAATCATTCTAATCATCTAAATAATATAAAAATTGCCTTTCATGTTTTTCTTTCAATTTCCATGTTTTTTAAATAGATTTTCTTTTAAATAGATTTTCTCTCAAATACAACTCTAAAAGTATTCTCTATGATAATAGTCAGCTCTCCATAATAACTCATGTTTTTCACCACTTGAAAAAATTGATAGATCTAAAAGACCCTATCTTCTTGTTAAACTTTGCTTGTGGCAGTCAACATTACATTCTAATCCAATAGAACACTTTTCCATAATTTAAACTTTTTAATCTATTCAAAAAATCTGATTTTGAAATATTTTACAAAATAAATTTTTTTAGAAATACCATTCACATTATTTAGTTTACGGAAAACTATTTATACAATTTATTTGTTTGTCATATTATTTGTGTGTTATATTATATGACTTCCTTATATATATATATATGATAAAAGGTAATTAAATTTTATTTTATTTACAAATCATATAGTATCATTTATAACATTCATTAATTAGTTAAGTACATATAAAGTTCTTGCAAAGTAACAGGAAACTAATATTTTATCTATATAAACAACATAAAATCTAAACAGAAGCAATAAAATAATAATGAGGAAATAAAAGGCATTATTTATAAAAGACAAAAAAAATGGTACTGCATTTGGATTACAGCCTAATAAAGTTTTTAAACTTGAAAAAATGCCTAACCCAGGTACCAAAAATTTAGAAATAAAGTATACATTTATTATTATCATCAAAATGACTTTAAAAATAACTTTTTACAATATGATATTAAGATATATCTAATTTTTTCATAAATAAGTTATCAATAAATTTTATGCTGACTCAGCATTTATATAAGCCTTACATAAAGTCTTACTTTACTTTAAAAGCTGTATTTAGAAAAGTCAAAAAATGCAATAACATATTTTTAATTAATAGTGATGTTTGATACCTATATTGTAAGTTTTAGTAATGTCTGAAAAAAAAATTACCAAGGTGACATCACCATTTTGACTGTCAAAATACCCCAAAATAAATGCCATTGTTATTTAATTTACATGTACATAAAGTGGTCTAAAAAAATTTTTAATTTGATATTTGAATCTGATTGTCTATGTTCCAAATGTCAGAATGATACCTCATTTCGTCTACGAAATATTGCTATTTAATGACAAAAATGCATTTTGCAAAAAATGCTGAATCAGCATAAATATGAAAATTGAAACCTGAATATCTGAATACCTGAAGAACCGTAAGGAGTTGGAGGTTCCAAGTTTTAGATTTTCCTAATTTTCATAAATCCTATAAAATATAAAAAAATTAGCAAAATCCCAAACATGGGGTGACATGACCTGGATGATTTGACATGGAATTACCCAGTAGTTATTTTTATAAAATTTAAAAATCATTTTTATAAATTTTTGAATGAATGTTGTACTATGAATTATAAATAAATTTTTGCCTTTTTTCTCATTTTAAAAATGTTAACAGGTTAAATAAGTTGATTGCTGCAATGAATTATCAAAAGATAAATGTATCAAATAGAGAGGTTGATATCTTGTATAACATACCACATGATACCTTTTCAAGAAGTGCACAACTAAGTCATAAAGGTGCACTCAATAGAGATGTTCATGTTTTAGAACAGAAAAAATTATTTAAAGAACCAATAGACTTATCTAAAACAAAGGTAGATCTTAAAATTTACTGAGTAATAAAGCTTAACAAAATAGAACAGATATTTATTTAAACTATTATGTTTTTGTAATTGAGTAACTACACTGAATACACATATAATTTTTTTGAATATATTCAGCTTTTAAACCATGTCTATGATAATCATCTTGTTTACTTCAGTATATTTATTACTAATGGCTTTTCTAACTTTTTAAATAAAATTAACAGCCACAGTTTACATTTAGTTATCAAATGTACTTAAATCTTTAAAATCCAATAATTATAAGTTTTAAAGATTTGTTTAGTTTAAGCAAATAGTTTTAAGTTAATGAGAATCATTACATTTTAAGCACTTTGTGGGAACCAGTTTTTGCATTTTGAACTTGCGTGCTATGGAAATGTCTATTTCTTTTTTCAATTAAAAGAAAAAAATACGAACAGAATTTTCTAAAATAATCAGCTCATTTTATATTTAGAATTTATTACTAATTCTTTTATTTATTTAATTTCTTAAAAATATTTGAGAAATCCGACTAAAAGTATCCACTCACTCCTTTCAAACTTTTTTAGACTTTTACTAAAATGATTACTGTGTTTATTTAGTTGGAAGATTACATGACGTTAGATCATATGAAGATTATAAAACAAGCATTTAAAGTAAGTTTACTTTTTATTTTTCATTATTTAATAAAAATTATTGATGAAAAAACAACAGATGTTTAAGTTGATTAGAAATCCTGTAATTATGTTTAACAGAGTAGGGTAAGGGATATAAAGAAGTTCAAAAATTGTTAAATTTGGGCAGTTTATAATAATTTTATCTTAATACTTATGTTAAAACTGTTTATAGTTTGACTTTCTTTTACTAACATTGTTGGCGAAAGGCAGAAAGAGGTATTAGAAATGCTAAAGTATTGTTGACATAGTGGGCATCCTTAGAAAAATAACTATAAATTTTTGTTGTGCTACAAAATTTAATTTTTAGATTTCTGATGAAGATGAGAGAACGTTGTGCTTTGAAGAGTTTAAAAATATATTTATTCTAAATCCTGATATATATCAATCTGTAAGTTATTATATTAATTGTATTATATCAAAAATATAATTTAGAGGAAGTTCAAGTACCAAGGATTGAAATTTTTCAATGCTCCAATTCAAGGCCCCAGACTTGTTTAAAAATGATGAAACTGATTTGATCACATCTTTAATTACTTTACTCTAATTAATACAAATTACTTTGTATTAGTTTAGGTATAATGGAGCCTGGGAACAAAAATATAGGCGTAATGACTTTAAATATATAAGTTTATCATGTTGAAGAGTTTAAAAATTACTGGCCCTATGTACAATAAGCTTTTTTTTAACTTTACCTACGCCACCAGCTTTGTACTTAAGGCTGTTCTCTGAAAATTAGATTAACCACCATAAAAATACATTCCTTATAGATTACTGTAAAGTATACTAATCTGTACCTAATAATTAAACAAACAGTTCTGAACATTAAGTAACACAATTTGATTGCAACACTTATTAACACAAATAAGTCTACGCATAAAATAGTAATCCCAAAACATTCATAAAAATAAAGGCTCTACACCAGGGTTGAGGTCAAATACGAATTTGTATTTGGTAAAAGTGGGCTACTTTGGCATATTTGTATTCGTACAGTATTTGATAAAAAAATTTCTTGAACATTTAATTTGTATTTGCCTTTGATTGGAATGTATTTGCAGTTCCATAAACTAGGTTTATGGAACTGCAAATACATTCCAATCAAAGGCAAAAGTGTTTTTTTGGTTAATAAAAAGAGTTTTTTTTTATTTATTTTTAACACTAAAATAAATTAAAAATTTGTTTTTAAAGGATATTTAAAAGACTTTGTTTCGTTCTTTTATATATAGACTATTTTATCAGTCTTGTTTTAAAAAAACCTTTATATTTTTTCTTAACCTAGATTACAAAAAATTGTATTTGTAGTTGTATTTGGAAAATGCTGATTGCATATATTTGTATCTGAATTTGTATTTGGAAATTTAGAATAAATGTATTTGTATTTGAACAATTGCTTTTCACCAATTGAAATTCAATAATCTATCTCGAGATCAAACAAATTTTTTATTTTGTAACACATATAATATGGCCCTAGATACAAACAAACTATAAGGCCCTAGGTACAAGACTTAATAGCCTCATGGAAAACGTCATGTATAATAATATAATAAATAATATACAAAAACCTATAGAAAAGAATTTCCTCTAGTATTGTAAAACAATGTAAGATATCTGCAGCAAAACTTTACTTTAGACCATCGAAAAGCATTTTTGGATTATAATTTGACCATGCAACACTCTCTGAGAATCAAAATAGGATTATAAAATTCAATTTTTTATAATTAATCACCTGACTGAGAAGCATAACTTAGAACTTTATAGTTTTCAAATAAAGTGGGGTGGCTCTAGGTATAAACAGGCCCTAGGTACACAAGTTTCCTCTAAATAAAAAAAGTATATTTTTTATTATTATAATTAATATTAATAATAATATCATTATTATTGCTATTATTATTAGTATTTTATCAAAAAAGTTTTTTGTCATTTTTTGTAATTTTTTATTTTTGAGTTAATTAATGTTTACAAGTTAAAATAATTTAGTTAAAGTTTAGTATTTATTTTAATTTTATATTTTTAATTTATTTGGTATTAAATTAAAGGACATATTAAATGGACATATTAAATTAAAGTGCATCCCCTTAACATAGATGTATACATTTATGATAGTTATGCTAGTGTCTGTGTCCATTATTCTGCGAACAGCCAAACAGGAGCCTGGAGCTTATACGGTCCCAAGTAGCAAAGAAATTTAAAAAAGAGTTATTTGGAAAAGGTAACATGCAGACCAATTTAACAACTTCTACTATTTTTTAAAATAAGAAATAGTTCCTAATAAGGCTGCAAACAGCCACTAATGTTGGAAGTCAACAAAAAGCAAAAAAGAGAGCAAAAGAGAAAAAAAGTGGTAACAGAAGAATTGGAAAACTGTTAATTGAAAGACGGTAAAGAATTCCAAAGCTCCAATGTTTGATAAAAAAGATAAACTAAAGTTTTTGGTGTATGAAGGAACATTTAAAGTAAAGTGATGTATTGATATATGAGTCAAAGAAGATCGAGTTTTGATTGATAAAACTAGAGGTGATAGCTTGCTTGAGTAGCAACCATTGAAGCATTTGTAGTAAAGAATTATCATTATTCTAAATTCTATATGGCAAAATTTTATGATTTTGAATTTTTAACTTTCCTAAAAATTACCTATTTATAGGCCTACTTGATGTACATTGTTTTACAATTATATATGATACATTTGCAAATAAACCATTTATGCTTTCATTTTTGAGATTTTATTACTAAATCATTACAAAATATTTATTGGAATGTGACACAAGTGTTTAAATATAATTTTTACAAACTGATTCTTTAAGTTCATTTATGTTTTTTCAACTACATACATAATTTTCAACATAATCACCCAGTAAACACACAAATGTCTATTAAACATCAAAACAATGTTTCAATAAAATGTTCAGATTTGGTCGATTATCTGTTTAGAATGAAATCCAGATAAACGTTTAGAACAAACGTCCATAAAACGTCAATATTCAAATGTATTCTAGATGTCTATTATAGGATTATTATACATATATAAAGCATTTAGATTTTGTTTAATTTAAATTTAAATCTAGTCTAATTAACGCATATAAAGGGCTTAGATTTAGTCCAAGTAAGCGTATATTAAACTTTTGAATCTTGTTTAATAGTTTCTTTGATTTTGTTAATGTAATTTTAATTTATTTAAGTTTTAAAACTAATATAATTTAAAATTACCTTATAACTTTTTAACTTTATATAAGTAATAAGAGCTATATAGGTCTTGAAATTCATAAGTAAGATATGGTTATAAAAGTAATGAACTTTATAAGTACTTTATAAGTAACTTTATAAGTTATAAAAGACTTGGTTGTATTTTTAATACTTTTTATAACTATTATAACATATAAAGTTTATAACTATTATAACATATAAACTTTTATACTCCGCTACTTAGACTATACTTTTATATTATAAAACTATTTATAAAGTTATAAACTTATATAAAACATTTTCATATAGTGGGGATTTAGAAAAAAAATGTTTGTGCACTATACTTGTTTATGCTTTGATAAATAAAAAAAAATTAAATGATCAAGCTTTTCGCAATGGGAATTTTATAGTAACATTTTCTATCAAATATTTTTTAAATTTAATCTCATAAGCAGAAAATAAATATTTACATTAAGATTAAGTTAAAGATTACTAATAAAATTAATAAACTCATAAACATATGTTTTGGATTACTGTTTTCTCTGGTTTATGCATTATCAAAAATCTTCCTAGTATACCATCTACTGCTCGTTTATCATGCACCTGTTCTTATGCAACATCATCTTCTACATTTGTATCCTGATCGTCTCATTTTGTAACCTGATTTGTAACCACAAAAAACTAGGGTGAAATAGTTAGCATTTTTATTGTAAATTCATAAATCAAAATTGGAATTACACAAAACAACTTTACATATAAATGATTTCCTGAATGGAAGTTTTCCAAAATTTCCTGTACCATCCATGTTTATTTTTGATATTAAAAAACTAGTAATGTTGCGATATAACATATGTGGTTATATGGCAATGGTTTTTACCTAACTTACATGAATTAAAATGATGCACCCAAAACTTGGGTGCGTCAACTTTATATATCAGTCGTTTTGCTTTCAATTGTTGTAAGGAAGTGAATCTAAAATTGAATTTAAGCCTAATTTAATTATTTAGCCAATGAAAAATAATTTTTAAGCTGTTATGCGAGTCTTCTGACCAATGGCTATATTACTATATTATAATATAATATACGTTTATTAAACGTTGATCAAACTTTTAGAAGAACGACTTATATTAGTCAATATTGTAAAAATTTGATCGACATTTTATAAATGTAGATATTAAAAAATTTAAGGTAAAGATTTTAAATCTATAAATGTTTACGATTAACTAAGTTCAATTAAAGGTTTACAATATTGACTAATGTAAGTCAATATTCTAAACATTAGATCGATGTTTATTAAACAAATATATAAAAAAGTTTGAAGTATAGATTTCAAATCAAGCGTCAATATTTAGTCAATAGTAGGTCGCTAAACATTTTATACATTTTCAACTGATTTTAACTAAATATTAACCACCTCTGAACCAATCTGTGTTGACTGGGCAGTAAAGGCCTTAAGTAAAACTTTCAATGAAACTAGGTAAAAACAAATAGATCTAAAATATCTGTCTAAAATCTCCCTGTACAGATGTTTGCAGTTAAAACTTTGTGAAAATTCGTAAAAAAATGTAATGTGCCTAAAGTATTGCGCCTAAGCCAGCAATATACTACTTATATGTCAATATTCTTGATATACCTGGGTTCAATGTTATAAAACTTTTTATCAGCATAAAATACTACTGACGGAAATTTTACTCTTTATTTTTAGGAATTTTTACAGCTGTAAATTTAGTCGTAAAATATTATTCAATTCAATGTTATAAAACTTTTCCGAATTTTCTGATATCTATGCTCTGATTTTATTTTTAGAAATCTACTGTCCGAATCAATAAGACATAAAACTTTGTCAAAAACAAAGTTTATTTTTAGAAATCTACTGTCCGGATCAAAGAATATTTTGTTTCTTTAGAATATTTGGCAAATCAGAGACAACCATGAAAAGTAAAACTGTTTAAACAGTATTTAAACTGTTAAGAATACAATTTAAAAATAAAAAAAATGGAATTGTCATTAATTTTTAACCCTACCCCATAACAAAATTTGTATAGTTTTTCTATAAAAATAATTTATACTATTTTCTATAGGCATTTTGAAACAAATGGCCAATAGAAATAGAGGTTTCTTTAGACTACCAATTGTGATTCAATAAAATATTCTATAGACTTTTTATAGTTAGAATTCTAAGACTGTTTGTTTTAAAGTTCTATAGAAAATTGTGTTGATTTTAATATAGAAAATCTATGCACATTTTGTATATTTGTTATTGGAAGAAAAAATAGAAAAATTGCATAAAAGAAACTTTTTAAAAAATGGCCTAAAATATTAAATAATTAAAAGAATTATTCAGAAACTCAAATTCATATAAAAAAAATTTCTGAAAAATTTTTGATCGATCTATTTATCGTTGCGAGTCAAGCTGTTTGTCAGTCGATGTAACAGCACTCTGTTGAAGGTCAGGCTATAAGATTGTTTTTATTTTAATTTTTTTACATAATTTACAGTAAAAAAAAATAAAAATAAAAACATTTTATTTAAAAAATAAAAATAAAAACATTGTTTATATTTTTAAAAACATTTTGGTCAATTAAATATGCGCTTTTGCGGATTTTTAAAAAAGTATTTAAATTAATGGTTTTAACTTTATGACAACATGGAAATGTTGGATGAATGTCAAAAGTAATTAAAAGTGACGTAATTTGTTGTCAAAAGAATCATTTTTTACCTTTTGTACTCTCAAAGCCAACAATTTATAGAACTATACATATATATATATATATATATATATATATATATATATATATATATATATATATATATATATATATATATATATGTGTATATATATATTAGGGTGTCCCAAAAAACAACATTTTTGAAAATAATCTGCTCTCACCCCCTAAATGCGGTAGTGGTGTAGTGGTAGAGCGCTCGCTTCATAAACGAGTGGTTCCGAGTTCGATCCCCACCACGTCCCTGGTAGTACCGCGCTCAACTCATTTCTCCGCGCAGCGGCCTTGTTCGTCAAGGTTCGTGTTTCGGAGTTATAGAGTTGAGAGAGGGTTATAGCCACAAAATAAGTAGCCTTGTCTGTAGTGGCCTTTTCGGCCTTGTGGAGGTGAAGTAAAATAAAAAAAAAAAAAAAAAAAATGTGTTTTATCTAATACAAAAACACTAGGTTTAAATTTTTTTTGAATAAAAAATATTTTAAGGGGTCCCTCAAGACCATTGAATATTTAATGGGTCCATAATATTTTCGAAAAAGTTTTTCAAAAATGTGTCAACTTGGTACTCAAATGAAGCGAAATTATATAAATATTTAAAAAATAATATTCATTTTGAAATCATTTTAACTTATTTATCAAAATTATCATAAAAAAACATTAGAAATGCATTTTTTTTTATTTTTTCTTAAAAAACGCAAATTTTTATGTAATAAAACCAAAAATAACAATTATGTTTCGAAATAAATATTGTTTTTAAAATTTTTATATAATTTCGCTTAATTTGAGTACCAGGTTGACATATTTTCTAAAAATTTTTTTCAAAAATATTAGGGACCCATTAAATATTCGAGGGTCTTGAGGGACCCCTTAAAATATTTTTTATTCAAAAACAATTTAAACCTAGTGTTTTTGCATTAGATAGAACACATTTAGGGGGTGAGAGCAGATTATTTTCAAAAATGTTGTTTTTTGGGACACCCTAATATATATTTATATATATATATATATATATATATATATATATATATATATATATATATATATATATATATATATATATATATATATATATATATATATATAAATATATATATAAATATATATATAAATATATATAAATATATATATATATATATATATATATATATATATATATATATATATATATATATATATATATATATATATATATGTATATATATATATATAAATATATGTACATATATATATATAAATATATATATATATATATATATATATATATATATATATATATATATATATATATATATATATATATATATATATATATATAAATTAGTAAAACCACTTATCTAGTTTTATTCTTCAACAATGTGTTTCTCCATTAGTAGGTTCATGAGGAAGGTTTATCAGTAGTTTCAATAGTTTATCAGACTTCCTGATGAACGAACAAGCTCTCAAAGATAAAAATTAAATAAGTGTTTTTACTAATTTATTATTGCGCTGTTCTTTAAGAACAATGAGCACTCTATTTGTAGAATACAGTTTTATAACATAATTTATATATATATATATATATATATATATATATATATATATATATATATATATATATATATATATATATATATATACAAATAGTATTGCGTACTAAAAAAAGCAATCTGATGTCATACTGAAATACCCTGCTGCTGGGGGCTTCAGTACATACATCGACTGACAAGTAGCCTGATTTGCAGTGGAGTGCTGCTACATCGACTGAATTTAGTAAAAACACTAATCTAATTTTTGTACTATTTAACAGCATGTTTCACCATCAGTAGGTTCATCAGGAAGTTTTCCTGATGAACCTACTTATCATAAAACATGCTGTTGAAGAGTACAAAAATTAGATAGGATATATATATATATATATATATATATATATATATATATATATATATATATATATATATATATATATATATATATCCATATAATAGCATGTTCAAGAACAGATTTTACATTAAAATGGATACTTACGAGGACATTAGCAGTAACAGGGACATTTTAGTGTAATCAATAACTTTTGGCTGTAGAAATTTATCGTCGGTAATTTTTAAAAATGTTTTATAACATTGAAAAAAATCATTTACGCCGGTAAAATTATTGCCAGTAGCATTTTATGCCAATAAAAAGTTTTATAACATTGACCCCTGGTATATATTTTGACATAATCAGAAAAGTTTTTTGAAAAAAATTTAATATTGAAAGTGTTTTAAAAGCATTTTTTAAAAGTATAATGCTTAAGTTGTCATTTTTTTTTAAAAAGTGAAAAAGCGTCTATTTCTCAGCTTCAAAAAATATACACTGATTATTGCATATGATATCAGCATGATAATTAAGCTACAATAAAATCTTGCTAATTTCCGACTTTTACTGTTATACAGATTTTTAATTCCACTATCAACTAAGCATATAATCACCTGCTTAGGTTGTATTCTTGCTTAGACCATCTAGTACTTTTTTTGACATGTGCATATATGTGCTTATAACTTCAACAATAGTTCAAAACATAAAACATTAGAAAACTGAATTAATACCATTGTGTCTTGTATAATTCAACGAATTAAACATTTATAATTCACAGATAGTATTGATTTGATTAGACTTTGATTAATTTCTATTTATTAAAGTAAGATGTCAAAGGTTACTAAAAAAAAAAAAGCCTTAATTAAGAACTACAACTAAAAATACAAAAAGTATACTATAAAAAATACAAAACTATAAAAACTAATTATATAAAAAAAATATATATAGACTATAAAAATATCCATATTAAAAAAATTTGGCATTCCAAAGCAAACATTGCCTGGATAGTTCACAAAAAAAAAAAACGATGAGCAAATTAATGATGCAAATGATCACGCCATGATCACTTTCCCACTGTGGCTTGTTAAAGAGGAACAAAATACTGGTGTTAATGACAGCAAGATTGAGGAGATGGCCCAACAAAGTCATTGGCCAACACAGTGTCTAGAAAAAATTACAAGATAAATATTTATTAAAATTATAAAAATCATAAGGAAAAAAAACTATTTTTACTAAATTTTAGTCTTACCTTTCGCCATGTTGTGTATGCATGAGCTAGTTGGTCAATGTATCTACACTAAACTTTTTATTATTGTATTGTAGGATCAAAAATGGCTGTCGATGCACTTCTTCTGACACTTCCGTAGATGTGTGGAGAGTACACAACATAACAACCTTGTTAGTTTTTAATATGTAACTCACTAGCTGGATTTTTTCAGAATACACAGTTATAGAATCAAATTGGAATTTCTGCCTCATAAAATCTTTTTTTTCTTTTCTAGTAACTCTCAACATAATATAGTGGTTTCTTGCAGCTTTGTTGGGATTGAATTAAAATAATGAAAATGAAAAAATTACATTTCTGAATAACATGTTTCTGAATTACATGTTGTGTTTCTTAATTACATGTTACAATTTCTGAATTACAATTTTCATGTTCTTAATTATGTCTTGAAAAGGTGTAGAGTGGAATAAAAATAAGTTCAATGTTTTGGTTTGTTTAAGTACAAAATGGTTGACTATATTTAAGACGGTAATACTTTATTAAATGCACCACTATTAGTATTATTAGCAATATGAAAATGTATTAAAAGAAGCACTAAAACTTAATATAATGGTTTTGAGGTTGGCTGGTATTAAAGTTTCCTGAACTCTGCGGTCACTCTCAGAGACTGCTTCCATCAACAGTTGTAAAATAACAGAGTATTAAAAGTGTACATGGACAGTTTCCTTATTAATGCTTTTGTTGTACATTATTAAGTATCAAGCCTTAATAATGCACAGCTAAAGCAAAAGAAACCATTTTTTGCTTACCAACTGTATTTCACTTTAAAGTATTGCTTATATGACTTTAAACATATATTGAAGTTTAGATTCTACAAAAAGATTCAAAAATGCAAAGTTCTATGATTTATAGTACATAAAATCTGATTGTTGATCTTATGTTTTTTACTATGTTGATTAACTAGATTGATGTGAATGATGTTGCATGTTTGTTTGCAAAGATTGATTTTTCATCAAGTGGAAGGATCAGTTGGGTATTTTTTTTTTTAATTTTAATTTTGAATCTTATTAGATTTTTGTTTATATTTTTTATTCTTATTTGTTTACATTTTTCAGGATAATTTTTGCACATATATGGAGTTAGAATATGCAATTAAAGATAAGTTTGGTTCCGTTTCTAAGGAAGTATGTTTTTCCCTTAATTACAATAATGTTGATTGATGTTTTTTTGAGATCCTAGTTTTAACTTTAACATTTTTATGTTTCCACACCTCTGTGGCTTGGACAGGTTTTCATAATGTCATAATTTTTCTTTTAATGACATTAAAAAAAAGGGGAATCAATATTTACAACTGGATGCCCTTCATGACTTTAACTTGTTTGACAGTTTATGAATCAGCATTTAATTGTAATACTGCCACTAAGATGGTTCCTATTCAAAGTTTAAGAGCTTCTTTTTCTCTTGATCAAATTTAAATTGGGGAATTTATATCAGAGTTTTCTTTCTCCTATGTTATGTAAGTTACCTTTAACTTGGCTAAAGAGTCTTGCCTGCATTTAAATACTCAATTGGAAAAAAGTTATGAGTAGTTTAACTCTTTTTTATTTTATTTAATTTGAAATTTTTTTTATCTATTTGCAGTTTGAAAAAATGATTAAGAACCTTTCAAAGTTTGAAAATTTGTTGCAAACTTACCTTCATTTACTTTGAAGTTTACATTTTTGTTTAATTTATATATATATATTTATTTCAGATATCATTTATACTACCTGCACTTATAGAGATTTCCCCACATCGTCATACAGTTCTCCGTATTATAAACACTTTGGATAACACTATATTGAATATTGGACAAGTAATTTTTGATTTGTTTTTGATTTGGCCTGTAATGCAGTTTTATTTCTTTTTAGGTATCAGATTAAAAAACGACATTGCATTTTCAACATTCTTGTTGCAACTAATTTTGAATTGTTATTTTTAATTCAATAATTTTGCAAATAAATAAAGTTTAATAAAGTTTGCAAAAAATTGTATCTTATTAAAACACATAAGTGGATCTTATTAAACTCTTGTTTGCTTTTTTTTTGTGGAGAAAAACACCTTGTTTTTTGGAAAATAGAATATGGCTGATTGGCTAATTTAGTTGGCTCATTTTAATAATGAGTTTAATTGGCTCATTTAAACATAAAATATTAAAGTTAGGAAATTACATGCAAAAAAAAAAAAAAAAAAAAAAAAAAAGTTTTAATAAGATTAAAAATTAAAAAAAAAAAATTATTTAGTAATAACATTAATTCTTTTTTTCTAAGTTTGATTTTCATTATTTTTTATTAAAGTTTAGCTGTTTTTTTATTAAAGTTCTTGTTACTTTTTTTTGGCTTTTGGTTTGCAAATTTTTGATGATTAAAAATATTTCTGCAATCATTGATTTTAATGAATTCATTATTTATAAGAAATGAAATACAAAAAATTGTTTCTTTATATTTATTTCTGCCTTTAAACATATCTGCCTTTAAAGAATATATCAGTTATATATTTTTTTACTTCATAAGTTAAAAAATTATGAGGTAAAACATTCATGCAATAATATAGGTGCATATGTTTACTGATGGGTCTAGATTGGTGCATTTTTAGGGTAAGGGTTACATTTTTTTTTCATCAACATTTTATATTTACA